AGGTGGATAGTGTCCTGGTGGGTGAGAGTCTGAAGAAGGGGGTGGTTGGCTGTGGGCTCTGGATTGGCTGGTATTTGAAAAGGGTGCGTTGTTTATCATCTCTAGGAATTGCCTAATCCTGGGAGGAGCCGTCCCCCTCGGGTCTGCAGGGCCTCAGATATCAAAGCGTCAGAATACAGAAGATAGAAGCCAAGGTTAATACACTGGGGCATTCTGGGAATGAGGTCTTTATGCAGGGCTGGGGGAAGAGGTCGAATAGGGTCTCTCTGTTTCAGTGACATTTGAGCAGAGAACGGAATGAGGAGAGGGAGCCAGTGGCTACAACCCAGGGAAGAGTCTCCCAGGTGGAGGGAACAGCAAGTGCAAAGGCTCTGAGGTCGGGCTGTATTTGGTCAGTTCCACGACTAGAGGAGAGGTTGGTGTAGCTGAAAGGAGAGACCAGAAAAGCAGACCAGGGAGGTACGGCTGAGAGAGACTCCGGCTCTTACCGTGCATAGGTAAGCTCACCCTCCCGGAGGGTGAGCATGATGGCACTTGGGTTCTTAACAGGGTCCCTCTGCTGCTGTGCAGAGAAGGGGTGGGGAGAGGAGGCAGGGAAGCAAGGAGGTCAGGGAAGAGTCTCTGGCAACAATGCAGGTGGGAGAGGAGGGGGCTGCAGGACTGAAGCATAGACTCCGGCTCTAAGCTGATGGGGCCAGGATGGGGAGGGGTTTGAGGAAGAGTGGGAGAGACCCCAGAACGAGTGCTTGGAGGAACCCCGATTGCTTCTGAAGGAAAAACATGCACGTGGAAACCGTGCTTTCTGTCCTTCTCCAAGTTCCTCCAGCCTCCCCGGCCTGCGCCCCCATCAGTCCATAGGTTTTCATGTATTTATTTGTGTGTGTTCTTCTCCAGCAGATTATCAGCACCCCTGGGGCAGGGGCTGAGTCCAGTTCTGTTGTTCGGTTTCTTTTGTCCCCAGCTGCTGCGATCACACCTGCGCCGGAGTAAGTGCTCTGGAAATGTTTGTTCAGAGCGTCGTCTTTGCAGATCTGAGTTGTCTCCCTGGGAGGAAGGGCGTTCCCAGCAGGGACGTGTTTCCAGGCCCGTGTGCTCCCTCGACAGCTGGCAGAATGTCCCCATCTTCCCCACCTCTTGGCCTTTGCACTGGCTGTCCGTCCCCTCTGCTTAGATTGCTGTCCATCCCCCTCCTCCGGGTCCCCTTTTATTTATTATTTTTAAAAATATTTGTTTATTTGTTTTTGAGAGAGACAGAGAGAGTGAGTGTGCACGGGAGCAGGGGATGGGCAGAGAGAGAGAGAGAATCCCAAACGGGCTCTGCGTGGTCAGCGTGGAGCCCGATGCGAGGCTCGAACCCACAAACCGTGAGATCATGACCTGAGCTGAAATCACAAGTCTCACTCTTAACCGACTGAGACCTCCTCCAGGTCTCCTTTTAAATGCTGCCTCCTCAAAGAGTCCTTCCTGACTCTCTCTGTCTCTCTTTTTTAAAAAATAATTGCTACACCCAATGTGGGACTCAAACTCACAACCCTGAGATCAAGAGTTACATGCTCCTCTGAGCCAGTCAAACACCCCCTTCCTTGACCCTCCTAAGTGGCTGCTCTCCCTGGTCCCAGTCACTCCTTGCCAGGTCACTCCGTGCTTACCAACATCAGAAATTATTATCTTCAGTTCATGTGGTCCACTGTGTGGGCCCTGGTTCTGCCGTGGGGGATGGTCTTGGTGACTTCCCTGGTCCCCCTCAAGGGGATGGGTGCCCAGGCCCCAGCAGCCTTGGGTGCCAGGTGCTCAAAGCTCCCACCGCACTTGCCCTTGGCCAATTGGAGATGTATTGCAGGATATGCCCGGGATGGGGGGAGGGGTGTCCGGGTAGGGTCAGAACCAGGGAGGGGCAAGCTGAGGCCACATCATGTCAAGGGCAAAAGGCATCTGCCTTTACTTTTGATTTTTTTCTTTTTTTTTTTTTTAAGATTTTTTTTAATGTTTTATTTATTTCTAAGAGAGAGACAGCATGAGTAGGGGAGGGTCATAGAGAGACGGAGACACAGAATCTGAAGCAGGCTCCAGGCTCTGAGCTGTCAGCACAGAGCCCAACGTGGGGCTCGAACCCATGAACCATGAGATCATGACCTGAACCAAAGTCAGACACTTAACTGACTGAACCACCCAGGTGCCCCTAAAGATTTTATTTTTTTTTAAAATAATCTCTATACCTAACATGGGGCTCAAACCCACAACCCTGAGATCAAGTTGCATGCTCTACCAACTGAGCCAGCCAGGTGCCCCTAATTTTGATTTTTAAAAAGAACACTACATTGGGGCGCCTGGGTGGCTCAGTCGGTTAAGCGTCTGACTTTGGCTCAGGTCACCATCTCATGGTTTGTGGGTTCGAGTCCCGCGTTGGGCTCTGTGCTGACAGCTGGCTCAGAGCCTGGAGCCTGTTTCAGATTCTGTGTCTCCCTCTCTCTCTGACTCTCCCCGGATCACGCGGTCTCTCTCTCTCTCTCAGAAAAAAAAACAAAAACAAAAACAAAAAATCCATTAAAAAAACACTACATTAAAATCTGATTTATCTTGATTATGGAGTCCTTTTTGGCTTCCCCTTCAATTCCGCGCTCAAGGGGAAAAGTTCTGAACCTGCTCAGAGGTGGGGCCTGAGAATCTGTGTTGTTAAATCTGCCTTCCCAACCCCCCACTGCAAGTCTTAAAGAAGCTCTGAGCTAAATCAGAGATGGAGGGGAAAACCATGTGACCTAAAAAAGAAAACAGATTGGGACAGGCCCTCCTGGCTGTTTGCCATTGAGTGATGATAGTGATGTTTGCACACCATCATCCCAGCTGTTGGGTGTCAGTTGCCTGTTCTGGGGTCAAGAGGGAAGACTCCTTAGGGCGGGGCAAGGAATTTGCGCCCACACTTCCATGAGAAGGGGTCTCCTCTTCAGTGTGATGGATAGCTGGGCTTTCTGCGTTACATCCCACACTGCCAGGCAAAAGTAGAGAAGCCATAGTCATCAAGGTGGTCGCTTTGGTCCTCGAAGCAGCTGGCTAGGAGTCCCAAGCCCTCCTGCTTAATTAGGGTCAAAGACCCTGAACGCCTCTCTGGGTGTGCGGGTCAGTATCTCGAGCTCCTCTGTCCCTCAGGGGAGGTCTGGAGAGGTGCCTAAGTCTGGGCCTCTAGTTCGGCCGCTAGTGCAGATCAGAACCTGTGTAAGAACATGCAGACACCTCAAGCCTTCCGTGACCCCGGCTCCTTCTCTGCACGACCCCAGACTGTCTTCAGAGACTGTCTCCCACCAGGGCTGTCCCATTTGGGGCTCCCTCCTCCACCCCAAGTGGTATTTGCTTTCCACTCCACTCCATTTTATGCCCCTCTGTGTCACGTTTCGGTCTGTTTAGGATTTTCAATGGACTCCTGTCTCTCACAGCCATTTTTTTTGGGGGGGGGGTGTCATTCCATAAATCTAAGCTACTATTACCATGATGGCAGTGCCGGATTGCTACGGTACCTACCAGGCTGGGGAGGGGAGAGCTAATTGGTCTGAAAGCTTACTTTGCAGGCGCGAGTCACTGGAAGCAGGCCTCAGGGAAGCCTTTAACAAGGCCCTTGTGACTCAAGTGAGATTTCCTCTCTGCGCTGGTGCGTGTACACCGTGCTGAGATCGCCACGCCCCCCTGCCCAAGACACAGAGAAGGACATGCTTGAAGGCCTTTCTACTTCCAGGCCCTCTTTCCCGTTTTCCCTTCCTTCATTCGTTCCACGGATGTTGCGGGAGCACCTGTTGGGTGCCAGGCTCCGCGCTACGCGCTGGGAGTCAGCAGCGGAGGGTGGCAGCGTGGGAGTAGCACTGACCTCGCCAGCTGGGAGACAGACGGTAATTGAGTGGCAGAGAAAAAAGGGCCACTTGGAAGGTCGACAGGCGGATGAGGAAGATCAAGCAGGGGAGGAGGGACTTAGGGGGAGGTGCTGGTGTGCGTTCTTTAAAGAGGTGGTCGAGGAGGCGATGGAAGGGGCAGCCACGCAGTGTTCTTCGGGAAGGGCATTCCCAGCTGAGGGATCTGCAGGTGTGAAGGCCCGAGCTGGGAACGGGCTGGGTGTGTCAGAAGAGCCGAGGCCCCTGCAGCTGGAGGGGGTGAGCAGAGAGAGGGGGGTGCTGAAGCTGGGGGGGGGCTGGGTCCCTCAGGGCATTTGGGCTTTATTCTCCACGTAACGGATGGCCACTGGTGGACTCAGGCAGGACCGTGAGCTGGTAGGTTTGTGTGGGAGCATACGTCCTGCTGTCGGACCGGCAGAGGGGCCATGGCCAAGGCAGGATCGGGTTTGGGATGAAGAAAGCAATGCTTCGGTGCCTGTGAGGCTGAGGACAGGCTGTGGTTGTGCCCTGGGGGTGAAGCCCCCTCCCTGTCTAGGCACCGAGGGGCTCTGATGCCCTCGAGCTGAGTGAACCTGTCGGCAGGCCGGCGGGGTCCCTCCCTGTTATGTGTCACCCAGGCTACATGACCTCGGGAGCAGTTTCCAGGGGGCGGGGGTGCCTTTAGGGGCTCCAGACGGCGCTTTTCAGACTGCCCACATTCCCAAAGCATCGATCCTACCCTAGAGCTGGCATGCTGACAGGCCCCCTTGGCATCCACTTAACTGCTGGGGTCCCTTGAGGGAAAGTCTGAGAACCCTAAGGTACAAAAGAAGAGAACAGAGGTTGCGAGAGAAGGAAAGAGGGAGGAAGAGAGGCCGGGAGAGTGGGAGGGATCAAAGAAAACCAGGGGCGGGGCTGTGGTATTTAGGGGCCACTTCCCCAAAGCTGCCTGTTCTCTCCCTTTCCCCCGACCCGCTGGGCCCCACCAGGCCTGGACCACCCAAGGAAACGGGCCCCTATGCTCCCAGGACCTGGCGGGCTTAGCAGGCAAACAGCTTCCTCTCTTCAGAGCCCCATGGAAGGCATTTTCTCTCTTTTCCACCGGTTTTCTTTAATTGCATATGATCCACAGGACACACAGACAAGTTGCTGTTGCCATTTGTATTTTTCTCCAGGCAGGCCCATACAGCAAGTCTTTGCTGGGCAGGTTATGTACACGGTGGAAAGGACAAAGCCATGTCCTTACTGAGGGAAACAGACACGGGGTGGGCTGGGGGTGGGCTGGGGGTGGGCTGGGGGGGGGGTGCGGTTTCAGGTGTGTGCTGGGCTCTCCGCCAGCTTCTGCTTCACTTGTGGGCCGCGGAGGGCTGGGGACCCCTCTGCGGCCCTTGCAGGCTTCCTCCTTGGGGTGTGGTTCCTGTGCGTCCGATGCCGGCGCCGCGCTCAGAGCAGCACGTGCCTGCGAAGGCTTCTGGTAGTGACGGCGGTAGCTTCAAGCCGCAGAGGGCAGGCAGAGCTGGGGGTATCCTGGCGGCGGCGGCGGCGGCGGCGGTGGGGGCGGCGGGGCGTGTCCTGTGGGCTCAGTTGTTGTCTCTGGTGTCCGAGGAGGCACTTCCGAACAAGATGTCACTGTCGTGGGACATGTTGCTCAGCTGCGACTTGGTCTTGATGAGGAACTGCGTCCTCCGGAACATCACCCTCTCCTGCTCCTGCTTGAGCTCCAGGTAGGAACGCGAGAAGGTGTGGAAGATGGAGGTCACGGGGAAAGCCATGAGCAGGATGCCGCTGAGGATGCTGCTGAGCGCCACCACCTGGCCGGGCGTGCTCCGGGGCACCATGTCCCCATAGCCCACGGTTGTCATGGTGATGACGGCCCACCAGTAGCAGGCAGGGATGCTGGTGAACTCGGGGCTATCGGCCATCTCGTTCTCGATGACGTAGAGGAGGGGGGCGAACAGGGCGATGGCCACGCAGAGGAAGAGCAGCAGGAGCCCGAACTCGCGGGTGCAGCGGCGGGCCGTGAGCCCCAGCGTCTGCAGCCCCAGGGAGTGGCGGGCCAGACGCATGACGTACAGGATGCGCAGCGCGCGCAGCACCCGCAGCACCAGCCCCACCTTGTCCAGGTAGCTGTTGCCCGCGCCGGACTTGCGGCGGCCCGCGGAGGCGCCGTCCACCAGCAGGGTGATGTAGTAGGGCAGGATGGCCACCATGTCGATCAGCGTCAGCGGGCTCCGCAGGAAGGCGAACTTGCTGGGCGCCTGGATGAGCCGCAGGAGGAACTCGAGGGAGAACCAGCCCACGCACACCGACTCCACAATGAAGACATTGTGGCACATCTGCGAGCACCGGCCCTGGGGGGAGGGGGGGAGGTCAGGCGAGAGGTCAGTCGTCCCACCAGCGAGGCCGTGTGTGCTGTGCCCTGGCCCGTCTCTACTTAGGCTCCCTTCCTGGGCCACCGTGGCCAGGCCTAGGGCTGCAAGCACCTGCATCCACCGTTCTTCGTCTCTCCTGAGCCCAGACTTGGCTCCCGGATTCCAGACCCCGCCCCTAGATTTCAGACCCCGCCCCCGGATTCCAGATCCCGCCCCCGGATTTCAGACCCCGCCCCTAGATTCCAGACCCCGCCCCTAGATTCCAGACCCCGCTCCCGGATTTCAGACCCTGCCCCTAGATTCCAGACCTCATCCCTGGATTCCAGACCCCGCCCCTAGATTTCAGATCCCCATCCCCGGATTCCAGACCCTGCCTCTGGATTCCGGACCCCAGAAAGGCTGCCTCCTTGACTCCACCCCTGGGGTGTCTGATAGGCGTCTCAAACTTACCATGCCCCAAACCTGGCTCCTGATTTTTTTTAAGTTTTTTATTGAGCTAGAACTGACATATTATATTCTGTAAATTTCAGGTGTACAACATGTTGATTGATACATCTATAATACTGCAATATGATTACCACCACAGCCTTGAAGCTAACACCTTTATCACTTCAAGTAACTATCATTTGTTTTTCAGGGAGTGGAAACCATTAAGATTTAGCCTCTTCCGGCTCTTGCTTTCTCCTGCACACCTGCTCGCCAGTGCTTTTCCTTCCTGGCCACCCACCTTCCCAGTTGCTTCGGATGGGAGACTCGGCCACGTTCTAACCCTTCTCATATGATCCTCAGGAGATCTGGTTGGTTCTTCATTTTAAATGATTCGGGGTGGGGGGTGCCTCCTGGGGGGCTCAGTCGGTTGAGCGTCCAACTTCGGCTCAGGTCATGATCTCATGGCTCGAGGGTTCAAGCCCCATGTCGGGCTCTGTGCTGACAGCTCAGAGCCTGGAGCCTGCTTCAGATTGTGTCTCCCTCTCTCTCTGACCTTCCCCTGCTCATGCTCTGTCTCAGAAATAAATTAAAAAAAAAAAAAAAAACATTAAAAAAAATAAAAAAATAAATGATTCCAGGGGCGCCTGAGTGGTTCAGTTGGTTAAGCGTCCAACTTCGGCTCAGGTCATGATCTCACAGTTCATGGGTTCAAGCCCCGCATGGGGCTCTGTGCTGACCGCTCAGAGCCTGAAGTCTATTTGGGATTCTGTGTCTTTCTCTCTGCCTCTCCCCTGCTCACACTTGGTCTCTCTCTCTCTCTCAAAAATAAATAAACATTAAAAAAAAAAAAAAGATTCCAGAATCAGGATGCGTGGGTGGCTCAGTCTGCTAAATGTCCGACTCCTGATTTTGTCTCAGGTCTTGATCTCACTATCTGTCGGCACAAAGCACGCATGGGATTCTCTCTCTCTCACTCTCTCTCTCAAAATAAGTAAATAAACATTAAAAAAATTAAAATGATTCCAGAATCAAACCACTTCTCTGAGGTTCTGCTGTCCTCACCTTGGTCCAGCACCGACCTCTCTTGCCTGGACAGTTGCAGGCACCTCCTTCTTGGGATCCCTGGTCCCTACAGTTTATTTTGCACACAGCCAGAGGGACGCTGAGAACCAGAGTCAGATTCTGTCCATTCTATGCTCAGTACCTTCCATGGCTCCCAGCGATAGCTTGAGTCCTTCCTGGGCACACATGGCCTCGCTGCCACCTCTCCCACTTCCTAGCCCTGTTCATGTGCTCTAGCCTCACCCCGGGGCTACCCGCACCCCCAAGCCAGGCCTGGACTTTCTGCTCCCCCCATGGGAGTCCTCTTCCCAGAGACACGCGCATGGCCCTGTCCCCCCTTCCTCCAGCTCTTTGCTTCAATATCACCTTCCCAGGGAGGTCTTTCGAGATCCCCTCCCTGATTAAAAGTTTCCTCCTTCCTTTGTTCTCCACCCTGATTTCTTCGTTTCCTGCTCTATTTGTTCAGAGGCTCATCACCTCTTACTGTGCTTTGTAAGTTACTTATTTATCATGTTTATTGTCTGTTTCCACCCTCCACCTCCCCTGCCTCCCTGACCCGGCAGATTATAGCCCTACAGGGAGGGGGAGCTTGTGTTCACTCTCAGGACCCCAGGGCCTGGAATGGTCTGGCACGTGACAGGTGACCAATTCATGTTGGTCACCAGAATGGAGAGAAGCACATGGGACTGGCATTTATTTTTTATTTTTAAAGTTTATGTATTTCTTTTTTTTTTAATGTCTTTATTTTATTTTGAGAGACAGAGACAGAGAGCGAGTGGGTGAGGGGCAGAGAGAGAGGGAGACACAGAATCCAAAGCGGGCTCCAGACTCTGAGCTGTCAGCATAGAGCCCAATGTGGGCTTGAACCCACGGACTGTGAGATCATGACCTGAGCCGAAGTCGAACACTTAACGGACTGAGCCACCCAGGTGCCCCAAAGTTTATGTATTTCTTTTGACAGAGACAGAATGTGAGTGGGGAAGGGGCAGAGAATGAAGGAGGATCTCAAGCAGGCTCCAGAGTGGAACCCAAAAGGGGCTTGAACTCCTGAAGCTGAGATCATGACCTGAGCCAAAATCAAGAGTCGGACGCTCAACCAACTGAGCCACGCAGGTGCCCTGGGACTGGTGTTTAGATGGGAGCGCCAATCTGGGTCAGGTGGGCAAAGGGAGCCCAAGGGAGGTGGGCAAGGTGGGGTGGAGCCCTGCCAGAGAACACAGCTGTCGCGCTAAGGACCTCCTGATGACCGTCCCGGGAGAATTCAGGCTTGAGGCTGTTGCTTCACCAGTTTTCAGGGAGGCTGGAGATCTGGAGTTTCGCATGAAATTCCTGCATTTTAAATGCTGATAATTCCATACAAAGAAAATTATCAGGCACATGTGTGTGCTGCACTTGGCATGTGGGCTGTCAGCGTGTCTCCCCGGTCTGCAATGGAACTGGACAGTAGACCGTCCCCAGTGGCTTTAGACCTCAATCTCAAAGGGACCTTTGACAGAGCGGGCAGGCGCACGTGGTGCCAGCCTGGGGCACCTGTCGCTCCTGGGCACAGCTGGGCGCTAGGTGTCTTGAGCTAGCAGCTCTCTCTCTAGGAACATGTTAGAGGTTGGAGAAATGAACTAGTATTTGGTGGGGCTTTGAGGTCCCAGTCCTCTGTGATGGGAAGCCCCCTCCTCTAGAAAGCCTTCCTGGAGTGTGCCCCTACTAAGCGTCCCCAGAGCAGTTGGTGGGCCTCTCCTAAGAGCCCCCGTGGCTTGTGTCTCACACTTAGGGTCACAGGGGTATCACTGTCCCTTCTTCACTAGACCTGAGGTCCCTGTAGCTGGAATACTCCTGGTCACCCGTCGTGCCTGGTGATGCCTGAATACAGTAGGCACTCAAACGTGTGCTCAGGGAGCAAGCGAAACAGTGAACCTTACTGGTTTCCAAAATGGCAAAGAATGATATTTTCACTTAATTATGAAAAGTCTAGGTCTTATTAAAAAAAAAAAAAAAACAAGTGTCAGAATAAAACAGTGGCTTTATTAGTACTGTCCTGATAGAATCGGGATTGCATGTTGGAGGCAAGAAGAAATCTAGGCTACGTACAGGTGCTTTCAGACAGATCTCAAGTAATGAGTATTTTCTCTCTCTTTTTTGGCAGGTGTGTGCAATCCTTACCATTAGCACTTCCTGCGCGCTCTAGCGCCAGGCACCGTGCCAATCCGTTCCCGTGCACTCACTCACCAGATCCTTACACACTGTGAGGGGAGCCTGGGCACAGTCCCCATGGACATGCGAGGAAAGTGAGGCACAGAGATGTTAAATAACTTGCCCACAGACACACAGCCAGAGCAGACAAAATAGGATTTCAAGTTCAGGTCATCTTCATCATTCTCCCTTCTGCTTTTCAAAAATTAATTTTACTGGTTGAGTGCTGTTTTTTTTTTTTTAATACTCGCTTTAAAAATTCAATGTATAGGGGCACTTAGGTGGCTCAGTCAGTTAACCGTCTGACTTTGGCTGAGGTCATGATCTCGTGGTTCATGAGTTTGAGCCCCGCGTTGAACTGTGCTGACAGCTTGGAGCCTGGAGCCTGCTTCAGATTCTGTGTCTCCCTCTCTCTCTGCCCCTCCCCTGTTTGCACTCTGTCTCTCTCAAAAAGAAATAAACATGAAAAAATTTTTAAAATTTAATGTATAAAAAAGTGCCAGAACCCCCCCATGTGTTATGAAAGCAATATGATGTGTTATGAAAGTAAACACTCTTGTTTACTCCATGTTTAACACAGAGATGCTCACTATTTGAACACATGTGTGCACGCGCTCTCTCTCTCTTACACACACACACACACACACACACACACACAGAGCTATGAATAAAAATTATGTTCAGGACCCAGAAAATGGTTCTGGGATATTAAAAAATATATATATATATATAAGTTTACTTATTTATTTTGAGAGAGACAGAGCACAAGCAGGGGAGGGGCAGAGAGAGGGAGACAGAGAATCCCAAGCAGGCTCTGCACCATCAGTGCGGAGCCCCATGTGGGGCCTGAACTTACAAAACCATGAAATCATGACCTGAACTGAAACCAAGAGTCGATGCTTAAGTGACTGAGTCACTCGGGCGCTCCTTAAATATATTTTTAAAAATGGTTTATTATTTATTTTTGAGAGAGAGAGAGTGTGTGTGTGAGCAGGGGAGGGGTAGAGGGAGACAGAAGATCTGAGGTAGGCTCCACGCTGATAGCAGAGAGCCACACACCGGGGCTTAAACGCACCCCCAGCTCATGACCTGAGCTGAAGTGGGAGGCGGCTCGATGACTGAGCCACCCAGGCACCCCCTTTCTGGGATATTTTTAAACAAGGGAATTAGGCTGAGAGAGGGCTCAGTGGGTGATGATATATTACGTGTTCAGCTCAGGGGCAGGCACATCAGAAATCGCATCATGCACATACCACTTTCACTTATTCCTTCCACAGAGCGGCTGAGTACCTTGCTCATGCTGCACACTGTTCTAGGCCCTGGGGGCCCCGCGCAGACCCGGCCGGGCACAGAGCTCGTGTCTGAACGTGGAGGTGGACATCACACATGTAAATAGGCTATCAGAAGGGCCTGGAGATGCTACTCGGCCAGTGCAGTCCTGGAAGGCCTCCTGGTGGAGGTGACAGAGTGGGTGTGAAAGATGTGGATTTGGGGGAGAGAGGGATCTGGCACACTGCTTGGTCTCCTGAGTCCAGAGACCCTCCCTCACTGCAGCGAACCTCCCCGCACACAGGCGGGCAGCCTCGGCTCTTACCTGCTCCTCCTCTTCCCGCAGGCTGGGCAGGGTGCTGATGGACAGGTTGATGGCGGTGACGGTGACGAAGAGCACCGAGAGGCAGGCGAACACCTTGCCGGGCAGCCCGGAGTGCGGCCTCTCCACCATGTCCCGCAGTCTCCGCATGCAGCGGCCCAGGCGGCCCTCGCCCTCGCCTTCGGCGGCGTCCTCGCTGCAGGGGTCCTCACTGGACGGCGGCTCGTCGTCGTCCTCCGCCCGCTCCACCACGTCGGCAAACTCCTCGATCTTCTGCAGGTAGCGGCGCTTGCAGCAGCCGTCCAGGCGGTCCTCGGCGACGCCCCAGTACAGCAGCTCCTCCTGGAAGGACAGGGCGCACATCTCCCGCAGCAGGCGCAGCTTGCCCGCGCGCAGGAAGGTCAGGATGGTGCCGAAGGCGCCCGGGTGGCGGTCGAAGAAGAACTCGTTGCAGGTCACGTCGTAGTCATCGCACACGTTCAGGATGTCGTCGAAGTTGGTGCAGGCCTTGAGCTGGCCCAGGCGCGTCAGCGGGAACTCCTCGAGCGTGGTCCAGGGCAGCGAGTACTTGATGCCGCCCACGTTGATGATGATTTGGCGCCGGCGGTCCTCGGGCTGGCTGCCCTGGCGGGGCGCGTCCTGGGGCCGTGGCCGTGGCCGTGGCCGCAGGCGCTGCGCGCGGCGGTAGAAGACGCCCTTGAGGGACTGGCCCTGCGGGAAGAAGGCCGGGTGGAAGGAGGCGTCCGAGGCGCAGCTCAGGGCGCTGTAGTCGTAATCAGAATTGTCTCCTGGTAAGAGGGTCATTTTGGGCCTTCACATCCCCCTCGGGCCTGCGGGGAGAAGAGAGGAGAGACCCTCAGTGACTCCAGAGCCTGGGCAAACAGTCCGAGTCTGCGGACCTTTGCTGTTAGGGACCGAGCTGTGTCCCCCGCACCGGGTTCATAGGGGAAGCCCTGATCCCCGCTGGTCAGCAGGAGGCGGGGCCTTTGGGAGGTTATTAGGCTTAGATGAGGTCATGGGGGGGATGAGTGCCCTTGGAGGAGAGGAAGAGACACCAGAACTCCCTCTCTCCACACAGCAAGAAATCGGCCATCACCCAGGAGCCAGACACTCTGGCACCTTGAACCTGGACTTCCAATCTCCAGAACAGGGAGGAGGGCATGGCTGTCGTTTTGGGCCCCGCCCCCGCTGACTAAGACACACACTTAAGAGTAAAAAAGAACAACCGTGTCATTCAGCCTTTGCTGCACAGAACAGTTCTTCCACATCCCCCTCACGGATGCCATCGAAACATGCTGAGCGCTCCTGTGTCCCAGGTGCTGCTCTAAGCACCAGGGGTCTGCACAGAATCAGACACGGTCCCCGGCCCCACGGAGCCGACATGCCAGGACACTGCCATGAGCATCTCTACTATCAACTACTTAACACTTTGTTTTATTTTTTATTAAAAAAATTTGTTTAATGTTTTATTTATTTCTGAGAGAGAGAGAGACAGCTTGAGCAGGGGAGGGTCAGAGAGAGAGGGAGACACAGAATCTGAGCAGGCTCCAGGCTCTGAGCTGGTTGTCAGCACAGAGCCCGACATGGGGCTCAAACCCACGAACCATGAGATCATGACTTGAGCTGAAGTCGGACGCTTAACCGACTGAGCCACCCAGGTGCCCCGTTAATGCTTTGTTTTAAATTAGCCTGGATTGCTTTTTTTTTTTTTTTTTATTTCTAGGAGAGAGAGAGACAGCGTGAGCAGGGGAGGGTCAGAGAGAGAGGGAGACACAGACTCAGAAACAGGCTCCAGGCTCTGAGCTGGCAGTCAGCACAGAGCCCGACGCGGGGCCCGAACCCACGAACCGCGAGATCATGACCTAAGCGAAAGTCGGACGCTTAACCGACTAAGCCACCCAGGCGCCCCAAATTAGCCTGGATTTCTTGTTGTCGTTGTGCTCACGTAGCTTGGAAAGTCAGGTTAGCATAGACCAGTGGGCTTCAGGCCAATTTTGTTCCCTGGTAGACATGTGGCAATGTTTTGATTGTCATGACTGGGGGAGGCCACTGACATCTAGTTGATAGGGGTCAAGTGCTGCTAAACATAGTACGATGAGCCGGCCAGACGCCACAGCAGAGAATCCTCGGCTCCCAGAGGCCACAGTGCGAAGGTGGAGAAGCCCTGATGGTCTGGAGGCTTGTGGCCTGAGCAAGTTGCTCAACCTTGATCAGTTTCAATTTCCTCATCTTCAAGTACATAAAACCATCTGACCTGCTTCCTAGAATTAGTGAGAGGCTTCTGTAATTATGTGCATAAGAGCACTTAATAACAGCGCCTGGCACATTATAAGTACTCAGCCGTTGTTGTCTATTATTACTGTTTGTGTTTCTCTGAAAGGGACAGCTTGCTTTGCTTTCATAAGTGGAAGACCTATATCACTGGCCATAAATAACAGGCAATGTCCACGTTAATGATCACAACAGTGTCATAGCTGCTCATGTATCAGCAAACATCATTTTGAGGATACAGAGGTGAACTGGACAGGCATGCCCACTCCTCCAGGAAGTCTTCCTTGGCTCTTCTGGGTGAATTGAGTCTTCCTATCCCTGTACCTGGTGCATGGTCTTTACCATATCCGTATGCAGGCCTGGCTCCTTTATAAGACTGCTTGCTCTGTAGGGGCAAGAATTGGGCTTTACTCAGCTCCGAATCCCTGTGCCCGGCACCGTAAGAGCTGAAGGAAGTGCTTCCCGAATGAGGCCAACATGACAGAGGTACTTCTGAGAACCTGAGGTCAAGATACCCACTCACACAAGACTCTGCCCTTCCCAATCCTCAACGCTACCCAGGGCTGTATGCTGTCAGAATAAGATTACGTATTCATTCACAGCTCGCGGGCTGAATTTGGCTCACGAATATTCTGCCTGGCTTGGAGATTTTGAAAATGGAGGAATCTTGTGTAAAAATTTATATTCTTGGTTTCTCTTGAAAAAAAAAAAAATCAGACACTTGGCAACATTTGGCCTAAATTCCAGCTGAGAAATGACTGGCTCCTGTGGGCAGGGCGTGCGTGCTACAATCTACCACAGTCCCCACCCCTCCCTGTCATCTTCTTCATGGCCACTCTCCTTCACTCAAGTATGTTTCCTTCTTGGCCCCTGTAGGCATTTGAGTTTAAGCCCCCTTGAGTATAGCAACTGAGCTCTCCAGAATTAAGCCAACCCACAGGAAAGCAGTAACAGTCCAATAATCTGCTTTTGAGAATCACCATTCCTCCCTTTCAGCCCAGTAACCCGTGGAAGCAAGGGGTACCAGCAAAGTCCATCAATGCCAACGGAGACCCATTTCCAATATGTGAGCGTCAATCTGTGCTATGGACACGTTCAGGGAAAATGCACGTCCATGCACACAGGTGCACACACACCTGTAATGGATGAGGAAGAGTTCAGGAGGAGCCGGGGTGGGGAGGTGTCCCTTTGAAGGAGACTCCCATCCTAACAGAAATTCTTTTACATAAAGCAAATCATCACTCCACTCATTTGTCTTTGGGGAAAACTACAGCGTCACAGGTTGGGTTCTGGGAAACGAGGCTACACCTGCATTTGAAATGAAGACGACTTGATTTTAGAGTGTTGAGAATGTTTCTTAGCTTCGCCTAAAATTGGAGCCCAGCTCCTCAGGCACAGCCTGCCAGCATTCCTTGGGGGGTGGGGGTGGGGGGGGGCGAGAATAATCCCTTTCAGGCACTTCACATCAGCGGCACCGCTTTTCAGCTCTGCTGGCTTCTCTTTGCCACCAAAGAGGAAAAGCGACATTCTGTTGGGTAAGATCGGTGGCGGAGGAAAAGGAACATTCGTTCCTCTTGTCCTGCAAGCCCTGAGAGCCCCTGTGAAACCCCCTTGGCTGTAATCACCTCTTCCAGAACGTCTTCTTCCACCTCTAGCTTTCCCGCCCACAGAAAGCTCCCCCAATTAGAGACCCTCATTTCTTTCTCTCCTGACTCGTGTCAGTTGTGAGCTAAAGCCTCAGCGTCCTATGTGGAGAGTTATCCTGTTTGGTGGAGGAGGAAAAAAACCCGCTTCGTCCTGGCTGCTAGCACACGGAAGGCCAGATGCTAGGGTTTGCTAAACGAGGAATGTGTGCACTTCTCTTTGGCCTTTGGTCTTGGGAACACCCAGTCTGATGGGTCTAGGGGTACAGCTCTGCATGCTAGACTCCAGAGTCATGAGCGAAGTTCAGAAATCGAACAGGCCCCAAAGCCCTGCTTCTGGAAAAGAATGCCACTTTTCACCCAGCCTGATACCCTCCTGAGAAGTCTGGTCTTCTAAAATTCCTCTACAGTGTTAGGTCTGTCAGTTCTAGAGCACGATGGATTCTGGTGATTTTGTTTCTGAGGGCCTGTGGGTGGTTGGGAAGAGAGTGCTGTCTGGGAGGGGGGCTGTGATGCTGAAGATGAGGGTCCGGAGTTGTCGTTCAGCACTTACCACGTGCTGGGCCTGTGCCAGGTCTACAGCCAAAGCAAAGACAGACCCAGCCGCTGTCCTCAGGGAGTGGACATTCTAGTGGTGGAGGTGCCCGAGGGAGATCATTTCAGGAAACAGAGGAAGAAAATGACAGCAGCATGAGCTGGAGAGGTCTGGGAGGGCTTCTTGAAGGAGGGCACCTTGGGCTGAGGTTGGATGGGAAGGGGCCAGTCCTGTGAGGATGTGGAAGAGGTTATCTAAGGCCAAGAGAATAGGAAGAACTTGCTCCTTGACCTGGGATGGACTTGGGTGGTCAAGCCAGAGAGGCTGAGGGGCTGGGTGGAGAGTGAGGGAAAGTGGGAGAAAATGAGTATGGGGAAGTCAGCAGATACCAGATGGAACAAAGCCTAGGGGACCGTGACAAGGGCCTGGGGTTTACTCTGCATGGGGGAGGGGTGTCCTCAGGAGAGGACTACGGGTGGGCTGGGTAAACCAGGCTGGAATTCTCGGTAGGCATTCCTGAAAGAGTCGACCAAGGCTTGGACCAGTGGAGGGGACAGGTGAATTGGCTTATTCTGGACTTTGGAGGAAATGCTGCCGGGACTTGCTTTGGGAGGGGAGTGTGGTGAGGGGGAAAGAGAATGGATTCCAGTGGTGCCATTCACCGAGGAGACACTAGGTGGCGTGATGATGAGAACCAAATTAGGGGCCACATTTGCTGGCTGTGGGATGATGGACAGGAGGGTGGGTGGGCAAATCAGGGAGAGAGAGCAGGGATGAGTGGCTCGCAAGGGGGAGGGATGGATGGGTGGTCGGACAGAGTGGGACCACACAAAAGCCAACCTGATGACTGTGTGTGTGTGATGGTGGTAGTATCAGCTGGTAGGTTTGACCTGGCTGGGCTGCAGAGAGGGCGGGAGGACCAGGCCAGCGGAGAAATGGTGAAGCCCAGAGGCTATGGGGCTCCCTGCTTCTAGCACCCACTTCCCTCCCGAAGCTGCACTCCACACCAGGTCTGGTGAGCGCAGGCAGACACCACTGGTGGCGGGTGTGTAGGCAGAGGAATGCGCCCCCACTGAGATGTCCCCATCCTAATCCCTGGAGCCTGTGACTGTGTCAGATCACGTGCAAGGAGGACTTAGGGCTGCTCATCAGCTGACTCTGAGATGGCAAGATGGTCCTGTGTCCTCTGGGGGTCCCAGCAGTCCTTAAAAGACAGAAGAGGGGCACCTGGGTGGCTCAGTCAGTTGGGCGTCCGACTTCGGCTCAGGTCATGATCTCACGGTTCGTGGGTTCGAACCCCGTATCAGGCTAGCTTGGAGCCTGGAGCCTGCTTCAGATTCTGTGTCTCCCTCTCTCTCTGACCCTCCCCTGCTCATGCTGG